CTGCTTTGCTCGTGATTTGCCTACGGCAACATCAGCTGTTTGACACGGACACACACACACACACTCACACACACCTCCGTCAGCGTGACTCCATCATGTTCTGCCCTGTTGCCCTGCTGCTCCTCTGCTGCCGGGTCGCGCCGGTCCGCGGGGCGACCGATGCCCCAGTACGGGGTAGACATGCAACATCTCCACTCGTCTCTTCACGTTGCCCGGTGACATCATGCTCGGAGGACTTTTCGCCATTAATGAGCTGACCAGCAACCTGAGCCAGAGGACGGAGCCGGACAACATCAGCTGTGAGAGGTAATGGCCGCCGCGGTCCTCGCGTCTCCTCCACGGGTGTGATGATTCTTCTTCTTCTTCTTCGTTGATTTTTCTTCTTCTTCTGCAGTTTAAATCATTTTGAGCTGGGACTTTCTATTGTGATGAAGTTCGCTGTGGATGAAATCAACAGAAACCAAGTTGTGCTTCCTGGCATCAAACTGGGTTACGAAATCTACGACACCTGCAGACAGTCGGCCGTCATCGTCCGTCCGACCGTTTCCTTCCTCACGGAAAAACACTCTGAAGAACTGTCTGTGGAGTGTAATTACACCGATTATGAGACCAGCATCTCCGCTGTGATTGGACCGTACAGCTCAGAAATGGTGTCTGTCATCGGAAAACTCCTAGGATTCTTTCTCATGCCGCAGGTAGGGGGTCAACGGGGGTCAACGGTAGGAGGTCAACGTGTGCCTGTTGTGTATTTTTAGAGTGAGGTCAATGTGAAGGTTTTAGCCCCATCTAGTGTTCAGTGAACAGAAATGACTGACTCTTCTTCCTCCAGATCAGCTACGGTGCAACCAGTGACAAATTCAGCGACAACCACCTCTACCCGTCCTTTTTCCGCACCGTGCCCAGTGACAAATGGCAGGTGGAGGTCATAGGTCACCTGCTGAAAGAGTTTGGCTGGAACTGGGTGGCAGTGGTGGGCAGTGAAGAGGAGTACGGGCAGCGAGGAGTGCAGCAGTTCTCCAAGGTAGCAGAAGACATGTCCATCTGTGTGGCCTATCAGGGTCTGATTCCAGTTTACGCCGACCCTGAACCGGTGGTCCGGACCATCCTTAATTACATAAACGCCACCAACGCCAGGGTGGTGGTGGTTTTCTCGCTCCCCGAGCCGACCCAGATCTTTTTCAGAGAGGTGAGTCGGGCTGAGCTTCCTGCTGCGCTGAGTGACGACGCGCCTGAGCGACAGTGACGGCCCTTCAACCTGATGTGTTACAGGTGATCAGGAGGAACATGACGGCCGTGTGGATCGCCAGCACCAGCTGGTCCCTCCATTACAGACTGACCTCTCTGCCAGGCATGGAGTCGGTGGGCTCGGTCATCGGGTTCACTGACAAGACGCAGAATCTGGATCAGCTGCTGCCCTACGTTCAAGAGCTTTTCTCCAGAATAAGTGAGGAGAGGCAGAGGACGGAGCAGCGCCCCCCGCAGGCTGCAGCTCTCAGAAACCCCTGTCCACAGTGTCGGTTCTTATCTCCTGCTAACATCAGCGTGGTGATGGACACGGCGGTGCAGCGCTCTGCGTTTGGCGTGTACGCCGCCGTCTTCATCGTGGCAGAGGCGCTGCATAAACTGCTGGACTGTAATTCAACCGCCTGTGTTTGGGAACCGGACACCAAAATCTACCCCTGGGAGGTGAGTTACCCCCCACTGTTACCCCCCCCCCACTGTGACTGCAAATGAAAGATATTTGAAGTAAAAACCTCCAAACGTCCCGCAGCTGCTGAAGGTTTTAAGAAACACGTCCACGAACATCAACGGCACTCTCCTGGAGTTTGATGAAAATGGAAACCCAAACATCGGCTACAACGTGATCCAGTGGCTGTGGACGGACGCGGGGGTGGATTTTACCCCGGTGGGAGTCTTTGATGAACAGCTGTCCATTAACACGGCGCTCTTCAGATGGCACACCAAAGACCAAACGGTAGACACCGAGAGATCTTCATGTTTCATCCACTGAGATCCTCTGAACCTCACCACC